CTCTCTGTTGCTTCTGTGGGAGTGTATGCCCCCTATGGAAAAAAAAAAAAAAAAAAAAAGACCATAGATCCGGGAAACCCTCTAACTACTGACAAATCTACAGAGCTTTAACATGAATAAAATTAAATTAATCTTATCTTCCCAAGTAGTCCCATCACTGTGTTCACATTTTACTCATTTTGAAACCACTTTCTAAAGAGCTAAAAGCAATGACTGGGCCATGAGTAGCCTTGAGTAAGATAAAATTTGATTTCAAGGCTGACAATGTCTGTTAGCAATGTAACCTTGATACTCAAGGTTCTTTGCATATACATATAGGCATATGTACGAGGGTACTTCAAAAAGTTCATAGGAATTGGAAGTACAAATTTATTTAGATACAAAACAGTTTTAAATACTTTTCCATAATATACATTTTTTACAAACTTTTTGAAGACTCACTTGTATGCGTATATGTATAGAAATGTGTGTGTGTAAGCCACCGGGTCCGGGACACGAACCGCGGTCGACTACGTGGGAGTCCAGCGACATAGCCATTACGCTAACTGCTGGTTCCCAGCAATGTAACCTTGATTGATACTCAAGGTTCTTTGCATATACATATAGGCATATGTACGAGGGTACTTCAAAAAGTTCATAGGAATTGGAAGTACAAATTTATTTAGATACAAAACAGTTTTAAATACTTTTCCATAATATACATTTTTTACAAACTTTTTGAAGACTCACTTGTATGCGTATATGTATAGAAATGTGTGTGTGTGTGTGTGTGTGTGTGTGTGTGTGTGTGTGTATTTCTGGGATGCCCTTGAACTACAAGATATTAATAGTACATTTGATTAGTTACAGTTAAAGTAGATGATGTATATAATACTATGTTGGATAAATACCAACTGTTATTATGGGCCAGCAAGTGATCTGGAGGTTAAGGCAACTGGATCTCACATGGCCAACTGTAAAGTTCAAATCTCTTGGCGGCCAGGTGCATGTGCTTGCATACCCTAAGTCCTGAGAAGAGCCTGGAAGAGTAGGAATTATAGTGTGGCCATTCCCTCTGGAAGGTGATTTTGGTTTTTTTTTCTTGTTTTTTTTTTTTCCTGGAGAGGTTTTTGCTATAGGGGGGGTGCACTCCCCAGAAAGCCAG